AAATTTGAATTTCAATATTTTTGAATTGATCAAAATATAGTTCTAAAATTTAAATATCTAAGTTGGTCAAAAATTGGTTAGAATATATGGTCTAAAATTGGTCAAAATATATAGTTCTGACCATTTTGATTGATCAAAAAAATTTGACGATTTTATTGGTCAGAATCAAAATTTTGACCACTTTGTTGTTCAAAACCAAAATTTTGACCATTTTTATTGGTCAAAATGTTTTGACTATTTTCTGACCAAATTCTATTTGCGACCAGACGAATCGATTTTGGTCAAGTACTAGTAAGAAATAGTTGTTTTTGAACAATTTTAGACCAAATTGGTAGTCAAAATTAGAATGTTTTCTTGTAGTGAGTAAAATTCACAATCATTGAATTAGTGTTCATAAAAGTATGCAATTTCGGGGGAAAATGCATTTTTCACATTCATAACCATTTTTTAATAGTAATCCATTTAAACCCCAAGATTGTATAGTTAGTTTTTAAATCAATGAATGTAAAGTAAAATTCACAATCATTGAATTAATGTTCATAAACATTTTCCTATCCTTAGTTTTTAAGTCAATCAACTACATAGTTCGGGGGAAAATATGTTGTGTCCACGAGTTATTATGCAATTGAACACTTCAAATTAATTATAGGAATATGTTTTTTGTCCTTTGTCTTGTTCAAACACTGATTTGTTTCCTTGTTGATCAAACAAAGGGATTATGAGTGGGAGGAGAGAGTCTCTGGGAACATAAAAGAATACAACACAAAGTTTCTTCGAAAATTCGACATAAAACATTGTTCATTTGTGAATGATTAACATGATTCATTAAAATTCGACTTAGACTCCGAGGATCTGGTGGTCCTTCGGCTTAGTCTCTGAGGCTTTCTTTGTATGTCGTCGGCATTTGTAGCTCGTCTATGGATTTCTATCCTATCATTATAATATAACATCAGATGACAAAAAAAAACATGATTCATTAAAATGTCTAATCCTAGGGATGAGATGAGAGTAGATAATGCTTTGTTATTTATTTGCATGTGAGGAATTCCCAAAGAGGAAGCCCAATAAAGTTAATCATCATGACCAAATTTGTGAATGAAATT